GTTTAGTTTAGCTGTGCGACTGAAATTTTTAATCTTTAATCTTAAATCTCCTTTTTACTTTTTTCAGACAACACAATCACCGTATACATTCACAATATAGACAATACGACACATAACATAACACAATGATAAAAGCCCACTTACCATGCAATAGTAAAACAAAATAAACAAGCTAGCAGACGGAAAAGATGCATAGTGAACAAGCAAGATAAAATAGAAAAATAAACAAATAAATTGCGTACAGACAGACACATACAAGTCGTTTAGGTTTTTTATTTATTAATTAATTTGTTTTTAATCTTTTTTTAAGTAAAAATAAAAAAATAAGTAAAAATAATTATCTTAATTCTCTTGAATGTACTGTGATTATTTATCATTTTAATGCCTTGAGTTATTGGTTGTTTGAGTTTTCATTTTCTATTTGTTGTTCTGATATACACAACTGTATTTATGTACGCAACTGTACATGTAATTATGGCATATTTACAGAAATGTTCATTAATATGCACTGTCCCAGTAATAAATAAACTGTATGTATGTACGCAACTGTATGTATGTAGGCAACTGTATGTGTTCTGTCTGTACTGTATGTGTGTATGCAACTGTATGTTTGTACGCAACTGTGTGTATGTATGCAACTGTATGTGTTCTGTCTGTATGTGTGTATGCAACTGTGTGTATGTATGCAACTGTATGTATGTATGCAACTGTATGTGTTCTGTCTGTATGTGTGTATGCAACTGTGTGTATGTATGCAACTGTATGTATGTATGCAACTGTATGTATGTATGCAACTGTATGTATGTATGCAACTGTATGTATGTATGCAACTGTATGTATTTATGCAACTGTATGTATGTACGCAACTGTGTGTATGTAAACACACTCACATGTTTTGAAAAGGGGGCGGGACTCAGAGTTTTCCCCCTTACCTCAAACGGGCCCTCGTGGCTGAGCAGGTTGCACAAGGCCTTATCTGCAGCTCGGCGTCTGGAGCAGCAGGAACAGAGTGTGAAGTGACACAACTGCAATAATGACATGACAGTGACAATTCGAGAAACGTTGTGAGGAGTAGACAGTACAATGTAAAGATGGTGAAAGATACATTCTGTCTGGTTATGTCACTCTCTACATGGGAAAGATGGTGTTTTTAAGATCTGACTCTGACACTTGGATTCTAAAGTTTGGTCAAATGTGTAATGTTTCCAGGTCGGACATGAGTACAGGTAAACAAGGGATAAAATTTTTCTCATTTACAAATCTATAAAGGACGATAGAACAGTAAATTGTATATACATGTTAGAATTTATAACGTGAACAGTATAAATACAACACTTCTCATGTCTTTGTTTTAAGAGTTCATTTCAATTACATTTATTTGTGGATCGGCCGAAAATCCCAATAGCAGCCGTCTCGGAGGACTTTAAAAAGTTGTAGATTCACTAACAACAAATCAGAGAATCAAACACATGATGTGAAATAATATCAAACCCATAGGAGCCATTGGTCCATAAGAACCACAGTCATCCCACAGTTCTCCTTGTAAACAGATCCAGCTCCAATAGCCACACTTCCCACAGTGACTCACACGGCTCTGAGAAGTGGAAATGTGCTCCAAAAATATATAAAACCACAATAACAAGACTTACATGATCATGCACATGTGTTGCTCTACTGTACTGAACTACAACAGGCCATAATGATTTCTTTACTGAATGTGTGGGAGTAAACACTGACAAAATCTCTGCTGAGATTGAGATAACTACAATATACAACATAAATAAACCAGGACTGAATCAGAAATTCAATCTATTATTCATTATTCACTGGGTCCTCACCATACCCTGCATAAAGATGGACAATGCTAAAACTAACAAGTGCTCATGAACAATTTGCTGTTAGGATCAAGATGACAAGTTAAGATTAGTTGATAAGTTCGCCAGTGCTGCCAAGTTTTGCTACAACTCTCTCCTATTAATTTACATTGGGAAGTAAACTTGATTTGTGAATAGAGAACAGGTGAAAGAACAGGTGCAACACTGAAAAATGAAATGTGTTTATCTGGTACAGTAAAAGTGTGTTTGTGTCTTCGATGAAAACCTTTAAACAAACATAATAAAATAGCGATAGAAGGCTTCACTCTTCCCCTTTTTCTTTTTGAGATGTTTTTGTCGATGCAGGAGGGTCCAGGACAGTGAGGATCCGGGACATTTATGGGCCGTCATCACGCTCTCTGTGGATCTAAGGCTCCTATGTGTTTGTTATTATTGCATTTCCTGTGTTTGATCTGTTTGAATTTCTGATCTGTTGTTGGTGAAAGCCCTCTGAGACGACTATGATTTAGGGTGATACAAAATATATTGAATTAAATGGAGTTTATGGTCTATTTCTAGTTGGGGGTTTTTTCAACAAAAAAGCCCAAACATGTCTTACTGTGAATATATCATAGACCTGTCCAGGGTCTAATGGTAGAAACTAGCTTATTTTTTTAAAATAATTACTAATATTTATTGTGAGTTGTCACTGGTCTAATACATACAGTATATTCAATTCAGTTAATAAACACTGAGTTTGACAAATGTGTTCTCAACATTTTCCTTAATAACATGGACAGCTGTTAGTTTGATTCTCCGCTTCTTGAAACTGGGTCATTGGATTTTAACATGTGGTTTCTATACGTCTCGCTGACCCACTTTCCTCTATCACTTATGTAAGACTGAGAGAAGAACGAACTGACTTTCTTTTTTGTGCCAGGATACTCCCACGACTCGGTCAAAACTTGTGGAATTACATCATAACCTCAAACATACATGATTGGAAAAACATGCAACATGTATAGACTATAAGACTAACTGTACTTTTTGTCCTTTCTTAACACCTGACAGAGACTTTTGAAATAGAAGGAGGTGGGCTGTGACTGGCTGAAGTCAAAATGCTCATATCTTAAAGCAACAGCATTGATTTTGATGTGTTTCTTGAGGTCTGAGGTCTGTATGAACTGCAGTGTTTCACATCTGCAACATTGTTTCACGTCTTTCTGAAAATGTGAGACAGGCTTCTACCCTGACAATGTTCAAATCCAGTTTTAAAACAGTTTTATGTTTAGCTGTGCATACAACTAAAGAATTGTATCTTCACTCTTTTTGACGCTAGAACTTTTTTTAGTTTTTGAATAATATTTATTTTGTCTTCATAGCTTTGTGACTTTCTCAGCATCAATATGTACTTTTTGTCTGTCTTTGTTTATGATTATTTTTTTCTTCATGCGAGTTCTATCTTTAACCCTTTTTCATTTTCACTGCTCCATTCATTTAAATGTAAAAGTCAAACGTAGCCTTTTTTGGTCACTTGAATCCTTGTTCTACACAGTACTGGTCCTGGACATGGATCTATGGTCCTGGACCAGAGAAGAGCAAGTGATAGTTACCATAGCAACACACTGTTTACTTGCAGCAATTAGCAATTAGCCTTTCAATTTTGTTGTTGTATTTCAAGTCATATTCCCAAGTTTAAGCCCTTATTAAAATGATAAAGTCTTACTAAAGTATGTCTGCATTTTAAGTAAGCAAGTAAGTGATCTTTATTTATATAGCGCATTTTTTAATAAATCTGGTAAAAAACCAAACATGTTTTTTGGGAATTTCTCAGAATTCCATTGATGTGAATGGGAGCCGTCAACTGCTCTAGGAATTCTCGTGGTTTCAGGATTCTGGGAGTCTTAGCATTAATGAACTGTGCTTATTTATAATTTTAATCCCTTGAGCGATTGTTTCTATCTTGTTTTATTACACACTTTTGAGTAGCCTTGTGTATGGACTGTGATATACACTCATTTTTAGGTACTATTATGCCTCTTAAATAAACCTCTATTTTTTTCTACACGTCTGCTCCCGCTTTGAACCTGTGAGGTCAGATAAGCAGGTGCAGGTCACGAGAGCAGGGCTTATCAGGGCCACATGTCGGGAGCGAGATAACTGTTCAACACGCCGTGTCCCCAAAAAGGCAAAACAGAGATTAAATATGTTTTCTAATATTCTCACCACAATGTAAACACGGAGTTACTCAAGTGACTATACCAGTCTAGTCAACCAGTAAAGTGTACTTTAGGACATGATCCCATTTCACCTGATTGGTTAGAATTTTTGAAGAAAAATAGATTTTTTGCACCATTTACATTCTCTGTACAAAAGCTTTTGAAGAGAATGACTAACAATTGTTGATTATGGCTGCAGTGTTTTGTATAAGTTGCATCTGCCTCCCTTTTTGTTACTGTAACTTTTGCACACTCCCAATAGCTTAAACATCAGTATTATTGAAGCAATGCATTTGGCTGAGTGGTTAGCACTCTCGCTTCTCAGCAAGGTCCTCGGTTTGAATCCTGGCCGAGTGGGGTCTTTTAGAGAAGGGTTTGCATGTTCTCCCCATGGCTGCATAAGTTCTATCAAAAAAATCCAAGTACAAAAGGTAAAATACTAGACCCTGTACTATGGCGACCACTGCTTCTAGAGGGGCGCAGAGTTGGGACATATTGCTTAAGAACCCATTTCAAGCTCATCAATACAAGCAAATTTGCTTAAGACTAATGTATGGCACAAAAATAGATCTGGCTCTCTAAAAAGACCATTTTGGAAAGCTTTGTAAATATGATCATTCTAATTCTCAGTTATGTCGTTTCATTGCTTTTGTAAACAGTACAATAGTTGATAATGGATAGACTAACCCAACTTGCTCGACAACAAAATGCAAAGATTTTAAGGAGTCCTGTGCCGCCTTCTCTCCATGACAACTACACAATGTGCCTTTATAAAAAGTACAGCTTCGTGTTGTGTGTGATCTAAAACCAGCAATCAAATTAAAAAACACAGGAAGACATTCGAGGATCATTTATTGACATACAGCCAAATGCAAGCATCCTCTAACAAATCCGGATCTTCTCATGAAAAGGCTGAAGTAAGCAATAAATATGGTAGATTTAAAAAAAAAAAAAATTCAGCAGCATTTCATGCCGTGTTAAAAAGTACAAAAACAGGCGGCCAAAAAGCTGCCAGGTATAAACTTAAGGCGAGCGGTGGTGTTGCTTCTTGCACGTTGGATATAAAGGCTGCATGTTCCTCGTAGCCGCTTGTAAAGCTGCAGAGAAACAGAACGGATTAAAGCCCGGTTCAGGAAATCACAAAATGAATGAGAAGGACTTGTACCTTTTAGAGAGATGTTTGGATCTGATTAAGGATGTTCCCAAAGACATAGTTGAACAGCTCCTCCTTCGACTTGGTTCCATCGAGCTGCTCTGTAAACGCAAAAGACAAGCGATCAAGCACTGTTTTTAGATGGCCTACAGATTAAGAGACTATACTTTGACTTCTGGAAATTAGAAAAGAAATCCTCTGACCACCATAAACTACAATGATACCCGTGTGGCAGCTCCATGTATATTTCAAAAATCCGAAACAAGGAGTTCAACCATTACGTATTTCACACTATATCTTTAGGAGTGGGAGTCGCTTCTCCACCGACTCCCACTGATGACTGCTGTCGTGTCCTTGGGCAAGACACTTAACCCCACTTTGCCCAAAGCCCCCACTGAAAGATCAAGGCTATGCTCACACTCAGAGCAGCCGTCCTCCTGTGGACTCACCACCTGCAGAGGGTCAGTGAGGGGCTGGTGCTATGAGACTTGGGTGGCATCTCTGATTGCCACCCCCCTGACCCAGAAATGGATTAAAGGGTAGAAAATGGATGGATCTTTAGGACTTTATGCAAGCTGGTCTGAGCTTTAAACGCACATTGTGTAGTTGTCATGGAGATAAGGCAGCACAGGACATCTTTATTGCTTCACATTATATTTTAGTGGGGTATTGTGTACTGCAAAGTATTTATAAATCATACTCTAAATTGATTAATTGTACTGTGTTTTGAACAGGTCTGGTTTCCCCTCTAGACAAGAGCAAGGTGCTAGTTACCAAGAAAAAGTGTGTACACCTAAAAACAAAATAAGTTACAGGTGACATTTTACCAGTTTTATTCAAAGTAACTCAGAATACCATCTACTGTTAACAGTCTGGATCAGGATTTGACAGTACGTACCAACAGCGACTGCAGATGTCTCCATGATGGTCTTGTGTTTCAGGTACATGGGCCACACGTGTCCGTCAAACAGGCCCGGTGGGTCTGGTACGCTGTAGTTTCTTGAGCTAAAAAGAATAAATGAGAACTTTACAATGAGAAAGCTTAACAAGAAAAAGGACTATTTTTTCTAAAAGTAGTTTACTATACTTATAACTATAAGTGTCATTAAATAGTCTATATTTAGACTAGAAAAAGTAAAGACACTCACCACCTCCTCTTTTTGCATTCGTAGTACGGGATGGAAATGAAGTAACGTTGGTCTAACACGTCGATCAAAGGGCTAGAAAGAACAGAAAATGATGTTTACTTTATACTCTGGACTGAAAGTACTGTATATAAGCCACACCTGCATCTTATAATAATTTTGTCCACATACAGGCTGCAAGTTTACATGTAACAGATAAACAGCATTTTTAACTGACTCCTTAATAAGCAGAGAGCTGATTGGCTAAGAATAAGCATCCTTTATATAGCCATTGTACGTAACAGGAAATCACAAACTAGGATTTCTCTTTAGATGATGCAAACAAATTATGAAAGTAAAAGGGTATAAAAAGGCATGCCATCACTAGCAAGCAGCAAACAGTTTTGAGAGCCAGGAAATGGTTGGATTGCCTTTTTTACGTTGATCCATTTCCTTCTGCTTTGAGAGTTCAGTACCCCAGCTTTAATCGTCCCCTCTACACCAAAAGGAAAGCCCAGTGCTGACAGCAACTGACCCGTAGGTGTAAAGCAGAAAGCCCTCCACGATCAGGATGTGAGTCTCCTCCTCCTTCTCATGGTCGGACTTTGGCGCGATCTCGTCATCCAGGGTGTTGTTGACGCCGTGGGACTTCTCGAACTTCACCGGGTTTTCCAGCCAAGCGTAGATGGTGCTCATCATGGCGTCCATGTCCAGGGCGCTGATGACTACGAAAGGGGGAAGGAGAAGTCAAAAGGTGTGGATGGATGGTACACAAGGGCCAGCGAGGGATAAAAAGTGCCAGGTAGAGGTTACGAAGCAAAGACATGCGCTTCAGTTAGCCACAACACAACAGTAGGGATCAAACCAGGATTATTACAGATAAACACATTTTGAAATATAAAACTGGAGGAAAAGGCCACACAAAAAAATCCTACTGATTAATTAAGAATTTTTATGTATAAAAGATGATGTGAGATTTCTAGGGGTCTTGAAAAGGGCCAGGGATAGCTGAACGTTCCAAATGTTGAGAGTTTAGTAAACTGGACCAATTCACATTCACACGGGGCAAAGATGTGGCCGTATAAACCACAAAAACTAGCTAACACCCTTCTACTATTCACTTAAGTCAGGTTACATATATTTTTGACCCAGACTGTCCAGTCAAACTTAACCAGAATTTTTTTTTTTTTATATAATAAAAGAATAAAAATCATGATTTAAAGCAATGTCTATTCATCTTTTTTTAACAAATAGATCTCCATTTGCATTACACGTTCACATTATGTGAAATTAGCCTAAATCTCAATGTGTCGTACAGAGATAAAAGATTAAAACTAGTGTGAATTTAGATTACCTTTAAAAAATAAATTCTTCACTGATTCTTACATTGGAAAACATTTGACTTTTCTTCCCAATCGATTAGTAACAAGGTATTAATTGTTATCAGTTCAGTTGGCAGTAGCAGTTATGAAGCCATCGCTCTAGATAAGATTATATTTACAATTGCATATACTCTTCAGTTTAAATGAGCTTCCCATTACGGCCTTATCATCTGGAGAATTGGTGATGGCAATGTACTTTTTACTTCCAATCTACAAAAGTGCAAATGTAATATGGACCATAATAATCCTGGTTAAACAAAGTACATACAAGGTCCCCACAAAACCCTGAAGCTTACCATCGTACTGCTTAAAGCCATCTTCGCCAACTTCGATTTGATCTTGTGGCTGAAACATACATTGATAAAATGTACCGCAGCACAGACTACCAATACTACTTCCTTGTCTGAACCGTCTGAGTGGCTCTGACCCGGCGGAGCACATTGTACACAGACTATATTTAGTAGCAAAGTCGTTTTACAACCTAGCAACAATCTGTCCACTTCTTAGCATGTGACTTTTGGGGGAAACTCACCTTGAAGAAGTCGTCCTGATGCACTACGCAACAGTTCGGCAGGTTCTTGATCAAGCGGTTGGTGAGGGTGGTTTTCCCGCCGTTGGTAACGCTGCAACAGAGCAATAAATGTCATAAACAGTCATAAGTAGATGATTCAAGATTTAATAAGAATTTCAAACCAGAGTTAGTGGGCAGTGGAAGAAGTTTGCTTTGAGTCTTTGGTCAAATTTTTACAGGAAAAAAGTAAGCATTAACTTTAGATTTTGGATTTCCTCCTCCCAACGTCTTGCCTTTTGTTCAATATGCTTAAGTAATGTAAAGGGATGCCAAAAACATGCTAAGCTAAACTCTGGAACAGTCTTCCTGAAAATGTGAGGCTTCTATTCTGACAATGTTCATATCCAGGTTCAAAACAGTTCCGTTTAGCAATGCATACAACTCTTTTTAATGTACAGTGGTTTTTTTTAATCAAAGTACAATTTATACAAATAAACATCCCATGCTGTGACCCTGTCACAGCATATTTTTGGTGAAATTTGCCAAATACATTCACAACTGTATTATTCAAATACATTCTTATCAATGGCACCAAATGCGACCTTGTCACACCATTTCCATTGGTCATTTTATTATACGACTACTCAAAACTGTAGTTCACCAGGAGAAAACAAATGTCTTATCAGGTCACCAGCGTGCACGGTTATATCTACAGCGCATAACATCAACAAACGAACTGCAAGTTTATAACATGTAATAGCAGTGTTACCATTAGCAGCAGACTACACTGCTGGCTTTTCTCACTGTCAATCTAAAGAATGCATAAGTTTTACAGTATTTCAGATTTCACTTGCCACTTTAGTTTGCAGGGCTTGTTCAGGGGTTGACATTCTGGATTGTTAAAAAAAAATAAGTCTTTCTGGATTTGAGCTGGATTTTGAGCTTCATAACTAGCTATGATGGAGCTGAAGTGGGCTGAATAACTATGACCATCTCTGACGGCTTTAGCATTGCAAATACTGTCAATGAAGTTGGCTGGATGACATTGAGTATTTTGACTTCGCAAGGGTCAGATACAATGATAGGGCCACAATCGGCCCGCGGCCCTTAGTTTGGAAATGCCTTGTTCAGATGTTAACGTCAAGAAGAATGTGTCCATTGTGCTTTGCCTGATAAAATAAATGTGACAAATATTAAAAAGTGTGGATTTCCTAGTTGGTTTTTAAACACGTGCTGTAGGCCCCACATGTCAGCATGTACATGTGTGTGCCATGCTAGCGTTAGCATCTCATTCATTCTCTATGGCAGTGTCTCCCAAAGTGGGGTCCGCGGCCCCCTGGTGGGCCGCGAGGGTACTGCAGGGGGGCCGCGGGAGGTCATAAAATATATATATATATATATATATATATAATTATTTAATGTTAAATTTATAATGTTTTGTTTGTAATATTAAAATATTTGTGTTCATTATTTGACTTGAATAATCCACTGTAATCATTTTTGTATTACAATGTTTGTAGCAGAGGCTATTTCCCCAAAATAAAATAACCAGAAGAGCCTATTCTTAATGTTGTCTTCTTGGTTATTATTTTGGGGGGGCCACGCAGACCCGTCAGATTTTTAAGGGGGCCTCGGTGTTACTGAGTTTGGGAATGGCTGCTCTATGGGAAGTACTCACCCGCCGATGCCAATGATGTACTTCATGCTTGCTAGCTTGTTGGTCGCGAGTGAAAAACTGGTTGAAAAGTCTTCAGGATTTTAACAAAAACCGCACGGGAGCTCAATGATCGGACGAATACTTAAAAAGAGAAGGTTACAGGACAAAACGTCAACTACTCGATTCCTCCATGGCAGGTGAGTGGAGTCTGGAGAAGGCAGAGAGACGGAGCGTGGTCACTCGGTCGCTGTCTTCCACCGGAGAGGACGGGCACGGCTCGGAGCTGAGAGATGTACTGAAGATGAGGACCTGCGATTGGATATTTAACCACTCACGCCCGCAGAGAGCCAGGGAGCCGCGGCCAATGAGAGGGACGAGTATCAGCGAAGGCCACGCCCTCCCCGGCTCATGGCACACGGGCAGCCCGCAGTAGTAGAGCAGGGTGGGTCATGTGGTTTTGAGCGTAGTAAAACTGAACCCAGCTTGATAATTACAGAGGTTATGCAAGAGTATTTCATTTAGTGACATCCACGGTGTCTATGGCATTCAGAGATGGCAGAAATCATCACAGTCCAGTGAAAGATATACAATCCTCACTGTAAACCCTAACTTCAATCCTACTTCAGATATCAAAGTTATTTTAAATAGATTTTTCCCAGTAAGTAGATATTACTCATTTATTGTTAGTTTATTTAAAGCTTGCCTATGTCACTCAGGGTTTTCTTTGAATTGAACTGTTTCTGTTTAAGTAAGCCTCACTTTTGACATTTTGATGTGTAGAGTCTGAGGCAGGTATGTGAATGTCAGAGTGTCCTGGTGGCTGAGTGGGTAGCACCATTGCCCCTCAACTACAAGGTTCTGAGTACGAATCCCAGTCGGAGCATAAATAGAAATTTAAACTTTATTGCAATCACTCGAGTTTACTTGGTAATATCAAGTAAACAATGTACTCGAGGAATTCAAGTCAAGTTAATACGCAATTTATTTCCATGGTTTTTTCAAGTAAACTTTACTTGTCAGGGTTTACAGTGTGCAATGGTATGCACTGCTAAATAAAGGTGATTTTAGCCTGGGTTTCATCCATAGATGGTAAATATTTGAACATTGTCAGAGTAGAATCCTGTCTCCCATTTCCAGGAAGACTGTTCTAAATTATAGCTGCATAAATATGAAAGGCTGCCTGCATGATTAGTACTGACTCAGAGTCCCAGTAGGTGGCCAGTCTCTGTGCTCCCTAGTCCCAGCAGGAGGCCAGTCCCAGTGCCCCTCAGAGTCCCAGCAGGAGGCCAGTCCCAGTGCTCCTCAGAGTCTGGATTGTTTCATATTCATATCTGGCACTAACATGCCACAGACTACTTTGCCGTGAGGCCATGGAGAGGTTATACACAACAGAGCTGCTTTAACAAACAACAATACCATTACATTTGTTAGTTCATATAATACTTTCCCTAATTAGTTTGAAGTTATGAAAGAGGAAGAAGATGCATGTATTTGCTGTGGTGGGGTCAGAAGAAGACCCCAAAGTAATGATGATATTTTTACTTTTTTGAAGATGGGAAAAAGTTTGATGTACAGTACATATGGACAATATGAACACAAGACATATGAACATGGTGTACTTCCTCAGGGATTTGCCCGACTTTGTGACTTTAAAGTAGACAAGAACAAAAGTGAATTTAATTGAAGGCATTTTTAAAAAGAGATGGTTGCTTGTATTGGGCTGGGTGCATGACCTGAGATGTCCCCTATCTATGTGCACTTATCTGCAGGCTGCTTTCCGGGACTCACAAAACGAACAAGAAAGATAAGTCCTGGAGAAATTACATTGAAATTGCATATGGACATTCGGTGGAGTCTTCCAGAAAGCCTTGAACTTGTTTTCATTTAATCGCTGCTTTTGTAATTGTGGTTTACAATGAATACACTGGACTAAGACAGAAATAATAATTTTGTTATACATGAAAAGCATAATATATGTATTTTTGTTTTTTCATAATTTGACAAGAGCAACAGGGTCCACAATCAGCTGACTTTTATATAGCGAATAAACATATATGTATAGAATTATAGCAGAAATACTGAATTCAACAACTTCAATACGGACTAAAGCTGGAGAAGCAGCATTTCACATTCATGTAAGATCTCGAACATTCTTCCTGAAAATGTGAGACAGGCTTCTACTTTGACAATATTCAAATCCAGGTTAAAAGTAGTTTTATTTAGCTATGTATTCTGAAGGATTGCATCTTCACACCTTTTAATGTACTGTAATTATTTATGATTTTAATGCCTTGTGTGATTGTTTTTATCTTGTTTTGTCAAGAACATTGAGCTGCCTTTGAGCTGTGCAATACAAATAAACTTGTCTTCCCTTTCGTTGATCTATCCTAATTCTTAAGTAGACTTGTTGTGGGGTGCAGCGCTCTAGACATTGAGAACACTGATGTGGAGATATCTATCAGCATTTATCCTCTGACATGAAAGGATGCCAGATTACTGTGACCTACGCATTTTAAACAAATCAATCATATTGTCATTTTGTTTTCTTGGATGTAATAATTAATTGTTGTGGCTTTCTAAAGTGTCTTGTCTGTGTCTGTTCAGGTCACTGTTGAAAACACACTGGTCAAAGGCTGAGAAATCGTTAGCAAATATTTTGAAAGTTGAAACTGTGTTTTGGTTTAACACATTTTTGGGCCATTTGTTCCACTTTCTGGATAAGTCTCACTTCAAAAACAGAGCTGCCACAAGACTTTCCTTAAACCGCTGCATGGTTACACCCTTTGCATGGTCAGAGTCTGCATAAACTATTACACTTAGGGGAATAAATAGTGAGTGTCGTCTGCTTTTGGATTTAGTGTTTTGACGACATGGTATTTCCTCTTGAGAGTGCAAAAGGCCATAATATTGTTGTTTTAGAAGTGACAGGAGCTGAGAACAGACACATGTGTCACTTATACTAGACAATAATGGAAGATTCAAATGTTTGTTCTTACATCATTTCCTGTGTTTGAACAGTCCTGATTCTCTGATTTGTTGTTGTGGAATCATCAACTTTGTAATGTCCTTCAAGACAACTGTTGGGACTAGGGACGATTCACAAATATGTTTTAATTGAATTTGGGTTCAGATATCGATTCTCCTATAGAAAGCTTGTTTTGAGTTTGAAACAAATATTTCCTAACAGAGGTTCCATCCCTTTTCTAACAAGATTGGTTTTTAACCTGGATTCGAACACTGTCAGAGCAGGAGCCTGTCTCACATTTTCAAGAAGACAGTTCCAGATTATAGCTGCATGAATCTAAAACGCTGCCTCCCCATGTTTAGTCCTGGCTCGGAGCACCAGCAGCAGCTCAGTCCTATAGCTGGCTCATATGACACTAACATGTCTCAGATGTACACAGATAGACATGCAAGGCCACGGCCAAGTACAGCTACTTTGATAAACAATCACCGTTCATTCATTCATTCATTTATACCATATACTTTCCCTAATTAGTTTGAAGTCATGGAAGAGAAAGATGCAAGCATGTATTTGCTGTGGTGGTGTTAGAAGAAGCAGTTATTACTTACACTATTTGAAATAATGTTATAAGTGTAATAATATACAGTCTATGGTAATAACTCACTAGCTTTAAACGTGAGGTTTTCTTGGAACATTCACCTGATTCATTCTGCACTTTCTGCACATATTCTGCAGTGCCACTTTTGCGGAGACATGTGCCCTCCTCAGTACATTGAGGGAACTGCAGGGTCCAGAACAGTTGCTGCAGACTACAGCTGCTGCCTCCTGCCTGGAAAAATCCAGACTCACCGCTGTACCAGCTGATCCCCCGCTGGATAAAAAAATACAGAGGGGAATCATTCTGGTCTCACCAGGCTAGCTGCCTCCCCCACAAACCCAAACCTTTTTACGACACCAGTCAGGACAGTATGTACTATAGTGACAACTGTTTTAGTTGTTATTTTGCAAACTTGGTCGGGAAGAAGAATAAAAAGTGGTCTGCGGTGCATACAATTAATGGAGCTTTACTGAGGTGTGACTTGAATTTCAGAGACTGTGTGCTACTATCTTATAATTGATTTTTATTATTTGTTCAAATGGCTGGTCACAAAAGATGGTTTCACAAAAAACAAGAAAAAGAAAAGAAAAGTTTTTGATAAAGAAATGCATGCAGCAATACATTTGTTCAGTCCTCCTATAGACCTTATTTATTCTTCTTTATTCCTGTTTTAGTCTTGCTTTCTACCTGCTATTACAATACAACACAATACAATACAATTTATTCTTGTATAGCCCTAAATTACAAAAGCAGTCATCTCAGAGGACTTTACAAAACTATTGAAATCACCAACACAAATCAGAGAATCAACAGAAGACACAGAAAACACACATATGAATGTTGATAAATGTCCATTCATTTTGTAGAATGTTAAAGTTTCCTGGATCATCACCAAAGTCCTTCTTGTTACTTTAAGTCCTGCTTCAGTCCTACATGAGTCCTGCTTTAGACTTGCAGTGGCTGTTGCTGCATTTGGGAAACTTGTCATATGAGATTTAACTGCTGGAACAAATATGTTGTGTGTTTATGAAAACATTGTTTTCAAAGTCGGTGGTTATCTTCCTAAATTCAAATGTTCCTGAATTTATTTTTCAAAGATCTTTTTTTTTTATTGCATTAAGATTTTGTAGCTAAGCCTTTATATCTATATTTTACAATTTCCTTACGTGTCTGCACCATATAGTAAAGCAAATGTGTGTGTTTTGGGATGCCCTGTTACTACAATGGAAATAAAGAAAACACTGATTCTGATTATAATAACAGCCTGCTATTCTTCACAATAAGGTGCTGTAAATGGAGGCGAAATCCTTTACAGCATCAAACCAGACAGACAGATGTTGAATTAATCCAACAAGGATAAATTGGTGTCCAACAGCAGAAACTATATCCATCCAAACAAATGTTACAAAAATATTAACACTAGTAATAAAGTTCCCATTTACTCAGATTATAGCTCAAGGTACAATGAGTCTCTCAATCTGTTCCGTTCCGCAGCGTAGTGAGAGGAACCTGCAGTTACTCATCCTTCTCTTCAGCACAGATCCCACAGAGCTGTCATCAATCGTATTCAAACAGTGTAACACGCCTCATGGTGAATAGTAAAAAGCTCAAGGTGAATAGGAAGAATCTTTGCATACACACACACACACACACACACACTGCTCTGGGAGTTCTAGTTTTAAAACAGCTGTGTAGTATGTATCAATGCAGTCTGTACTTACTGTAGCTGTGAAAGGCTTATGAAAAGTGCTGCAAATAAAAAAGACTGCACAATTCTGACCTGTTTGGACGTCTCACAGCTCCTCGTGGTTTCACCGAGATGTCTTAATGAGTCGGGCCCTCTGTCCTCAGGTACGAAGCCAAAACAGCA